GGTGCCCTTAGTCCCCCACCTTGGCTGCACGGGAGGCCGTGCGTGTTTGCCCCCCATACCAACTCCGGACACCTCCCCGCCACGGCAGCGCCGCACGGAGCGGCCCCTGCACAGGGGCAATGAGCCAGTCTCCGGCAGCCACGAGCAGTGGTGCCACATCCGTGACCTTTATAAAACTCTCGCCGCGAGAGCAGGGCAAGCCCTAGGAGGAACATCTGCTATACACATCTGAATAAATAGCGGCTGCAGGCCGGCAGGGCACGGCCAGGCGCGGGGACGAGGCAGGGCGGCGCGATCGACGCATGCAGCGAGCGGACAAGCACAAGTGGCTCACGGGGCGTGCGACGACACAGGGAGGCGCGTGGAGAGTCACTGCACTCCCAAGCTCCGGTGCATGGGGCCTGGGGAGGCGTCAACGGGACGTGAGGTGCGTGAGGAGACACACTCGGGGCAGGCCCGCGGGAGCCCGTGGATGTGGCCATGTGTGCACAGGGGCAAACGTGGTCCCTCGGTGTGGGTGACAAACAGGGGCCACCCCTGTGCTGATCTTCGGGGCAGAAGCAGGCAGGGCAGCCCAGCTACATTTCTGTTTCTGCTAAGAGGCTGTCACCAAGGCCCGATGTCATCAAGACCATCTGGGAGCTGGAGTCTGTGGCAAAAAAAGAAGAAAACAGTGAGCTGCAGGAGAGGCTGGAGCTGCACTCCAGCCCAAGGTGGGGATGAGGAGTTAGAACACCGGTGGCTTCCCCCCTTCCCTCCTTCTCTAGGGGCCTGCAAATCCTCACTTTCCATGCTGCATGAATGGAGGGTTTGTGTAGCCCTCCCTTTCCCGGTGTCAAGAAGGTGAGGGCAGCTCTCTGGCTCTGCGACTGCACGGCGAGCCAGCCAGAAGCGCTGCCTGCGCCGAGTGAATCAGCCGCGAGGAGGATGGGCACGCGCAGCAAGCACGGCACTCAACAGGGCACCCGGTTCCCATGCAGGAGACTTCCAACAGCAGTGACTTTTTTTTTTTTTTTTAACCCTGAACGTGAGGAGGGAGATCTTGGAGGCCCCTCCCCATACTTCTGGCTGAGACTCCTGAACACTCAAAATTGTCGTGTGCAATCTCTGTTTTGGGGATCAGTTTGGGGGACAGGATCCAAAATTTTGCTGGAGCTGCAAGTGCAGCAGTTTTATGGCTTTGATAAATAGTTATCCAGATGTTTTGAGGCCCTAGGAGTGGCTGTGCTTGTCTGTTAAATCTGATATGAGAATTGGGAGGGAGAAAGGGCAATAAAGAAGCCAGGTTTAAAAGGAGATTTAAAAAGAAAAAAAAAAAAACAGCAGAATCACCATGTGGCTTTGGCAATATACAGTACTGCACAGAGAAGGTACTTATTGGTACCTCTGTTTCTGTTACAAGCCCCTGCCAGACGGGCTGTGGCACCTGGCTAACCCCTTGCAAGCTCAGGCCGCAGAGCAAGGAGCTGTTCCTCTGCAGACTGCAGGGGGATTCTGGAAGCAGTGAGGAATGACATGAGTTTTGGCTAGGATGTCTTGGCAAAGGCTCGGGAGATCTTTAACGCCTACCCTCGATGTTAAGACTTTGTACAAAGACGTTCAGTTCCTGCAGCATCAGCGAAAACACTTCTGAGGCAGCTTCCACTCTTTGCTGCAGCCGCATTGTCCTTGGAAACAATTTCCAAGGACTCCTTGGAAATCCCTTTCTAAGCACTGCTCAGCCCAGCAGTTTTTAACGTGAAGGTCATGTCTGGAGGTGGGCTGCACTGCAGCTCTCCAGGAGAAGGGACAGGCCCCATTTCCCAGTCCCATCACGAGACCAGCAGCATTAGGGAACACTCCAGCCCCAGGGCCCCAGAGCTCTCACTGTTCTGGCAGATCCAGGGGTTCTTCTCCCTGGCTGTGACTTCGCGAGCCTCGCTCTCCTCCTCTTCCTCGCCCTCGGAGAGCAGGTCGGAGATCTGCTGCTGCAGCTCAGGACTGATGTTGTTCTCTGCCAGGATGAGCGTCCGCAGGGCCGTGGGGTAATTCTCTACCATGTCCAGCAAGGTCTGAGCAGAAACGGACGAAAGCGGCACAAATAGCAGCTAGGTCAAACAGGAAGGGTTTCCAAGCTCTGTTCTCCTGTCGGTTCCAGCCCTCCTCTCCCTTCCCTTGGTTTTGACCTCCCTTCTCCAGGCTTTTTGAGAGACTGAGGACTTCTCATCTGTCTCTGGGAAGGACTGAGACAGGATTTCCTACCTGCATCAAAGAAGAGGCCCTGTTTCTCCCATGCCCTCCCGAAGCATGTTCTACATTCCGAGTCAGGCAAGTCCCCTCTTACCACCAGGAGCTGGGGCTCTGAAGGGACAGCCTGCATTACCAAGCCTTGGCCACAAAGCTTTAGGCCTGATCCGCAACCATAAATCCAACCATTTATTTCTTAAACATACAAAAACCCTACAAACTACAAGTATCTCCCTGCATTTCTCCCTGCTGATGTGAGGCAAGGCTGGAGAGCACTCAGTCAGGAGCTGTGACCTACTAGCTCCTCCTGTTGCTGAATGTGATGGGCCAGGGAAAAGCAACAGCTCCTCTGGGAACTGAGAGGAAGGAGGATGGATGTGGACTCTGGCAGAGCAAAAGCAACAGGCCCCTGGTCCAAAGGCCTCTACCGGTGCCCTTGGAGCTTTAGTGATGCACTATGAGCACCAGCGTCTCCTTACCTGGGCTGACTGGTTGGTAAGTCCGGTTCCCTCCAAGTCCAAAACTTCCAGAGTTCGACTGGAGGCCACAGCAACAGCGAGCATCCCTGCTACCTGGTCTCCTGCGGGAGAAGCAAACGGAGCTGTCAGCACTGCCTGCCTTCACTCCTGCAACACCACGTGCCTCCCTGGGGCTAGGGCTGGCATGGGCGCACTCAGGCTAGAGCTGGCACGGGCACGCTCTCTAGGAGCATCTGCACCCAACAGCCTTCAAGTCCCAGGTACCTTGCGGAAAAGAAGAAAAAGCTGCTGATACGATAGTGAAAAAAAAAGAAAAAAAAAAAAAAAGAAGAGGCAAGGGGGCACCCTTTGCAGCTGATGGGAGTGCTCCCTGGGAGCGCTCGGGTACCGCACACGGCGACACCTCCCCACGGGGCTGTGCCGCACGTGACAGGACGCCCGGCCGGGCCGGGGAGCGCGGCCCGGCCTGCTGCGCTCCTCACCACCTTGCAGCAGCGCGGAGAAGGAGAGTTGGTTTCTATGGCAACCTGTGCCAGGCTCTCCTCCTCCTCCTCCTGGCAGCTCCCTGCAGAAGATGAAGGGGGAGCGGGATTATTTCACCCGCCGAAGCAGCCTCGTCACCAGAGGTGGGGGAAGCGGAGGGGCAGGCATGGACGGAAGCAGGAGGGCAGGGCGCAGCCTCCTCTCTGCAGCCTTCTGGAATAGACAGCTGCACATCCCCTAGCAGGGCACACGCAAGGCTGAGAGGGCCTCAGGGAGGGAATCTGCTGCTGGGCACCAGGGGGGACCGTGGGACCTACCTGCCCCACTAGTGAAGAGCTGCTGCTCTTCTAGAGCTCATCCTTGGCCTCTACCCTCGCAAACTGCTCAAGCCCTACGAGGGCAGGCGTGCAGCCCGCCCTGCACCTCTTCCCCAGCCCACTGCTCACCCAGGGGGTTGTAATCCAGGTTCAGCACTCGGAGTTGGGAGCTGTGAGCCACTGCAATGGCCAGGTGCCCCCAGCCCTTGCTTGTGACACCCGGATTGGCACTTAACGTCAGCTCTTTAAGACCTGGAGAAGAGAGAAGCCAAACTATAGTCTAAGGATCACCAAAGCTGTCAGAGGGGAAATATTTCAGCTAAACAGAAGAGCTTTCAGTCATGTCCCCTTTACTCTGGCTGGTTTAAGGGTTTGATTTGCATGGGCAGCCATCATCACTTATTTCACTGTTGCCTTCATTTACCCTGTGTCTGTCAGGGTTTCTCTGCTCTCTCTGCCCGAGTCTTGCTTACTCTAAATAGCACATACAGTGTAGACAAGAAAGGAGTGTGTGAGGTGACTGTCTGGGAGGAGGTGGCGAGACGAGAGAGGTGAGAAACAGGGTAGGAGGGACGGTAGCCTCTGAAGCTGCTACCTGTGAGGGGTGACCAGCTGAGATAACAGCATCCGTGTCCCTGCATGGATGCCGAGGAGAAGGTGCTGGGAGAGGAGGTGGAAGCACTCTGAATGTCAGAGGGGAGGGACAACCTTACCTCCATCTTACCTCTGGTTTTAACCAGCGCCGTGGCCTCAGACCACTAGCGGTCATACCCTGCCAAGCTCTGGGCTGTGGCCCCCGGCTGTGACTGCCAAAACGCACACCCAGAGCGCGCCCACAGCTGGGGCAGTTCCCAGCCACTGACACTGAAGCCAAATGCTGAGGTGGGGGCACACTCTACATCTACCTACAGTCACTATCAAAGCACAAATGCAAAACAGCAAATTAAACATCCAAGCCACCCTCTCCTCCAAATTCAAGCGCTCCCATCATGAACCCAAACTCACCATCAGTTGGTCCCTGAGCTCAAACCATGATGGCAGGGCAGACCACAAGCTGAACGTCCCCCCCACTATAGAAGGGCTTTTCTGAGGTGAGTGGGGAAAACTCCTCAGGTGAAACAGAAACTACAGCAAGAGCCCCTCTCTGGCAGTGGAATCACTGCTGGGTGCCAAGGGCTCTGCTCCATCCTGAGCCCCCCACGGTTTCTGCAGAGCCCCTGCTCGATGGCGCTTACCGGACTTGGCCCCATCGGGTGGCAAGAGGCCGCAGATGAGGTTGATGCCTTCGTCGCCCAGCATGCAGTCCCCCAGGTCCAGGGCCACCAGCGAGGGGTGGACGCCGAGCGCAGGGTTGAGGAGCGCCAAGCCCGCATCTGTCAGGGGGCTCCCGTGGAGGCTGCAGGGTGACAGGCACAGTCAGGCCGGAGCCGTCCCCCCGCGCCAGCCGGGACCGGCGCTGAGGGGCGCCGCAGGGCAACTCACAAGAGCGACTGGACGGAGCGGTTGGTCTTGAGCGCCTCGGCGAGCTGCTTGACGCGGTTGATGTTGGAGACGATGCCCAGGTTGAGGTTGAGCTGCGCCAGGGAGTGCGACTCGGCCACGCCGCGGCAGACGTGCCCGAAGTCGCGCTCGGAGAGGCGGCAGCCGCGCCGCGCCAGCAGCCCCACCGGGG